GAGGAGCGCTGCTCCAACCGCTCCGTCACGCTGCACCAGCATGCAAAGGTCACAGCTAGAGCCCCTTGCACAGAAAGAGAAACAAAGCCGGGCTGACAGGTGATTTGCATAACCCTGAGAATATCAGCCCTTCCTCCCCACCCCCGGGAGCGATACGTAAGGATCTTATGACAAGGAACCCAACAGTGCATTCCAGCTGGCAGCTCCTCGCAAGCTCTCGATAACACCAGCCCTTGCTGCCAGATGGAGAATCTTTTACATCATTGGCAAACTGCGTGAGGACTCAGCCGCAGGGGGGAACCCAAGTCCCCGGCACCCCCCCATCCTTCTCCCTGGGGTTTTGACAGGACCTGTCAGCGCTTACCGTGGGGCTGGAGCACGCTGCTGCTCACGGGAGGTGGGCTGCTGTTTGGCTGCCTGAAGAGATGGTTATTGGGGTGGTTCGGGGGTGGGCTGGATGGCTGAATCCGTAACCTACGCAGGGAAATGAGCACCTTTTTGTCATGCCTGCTCCTCATTAAGATGCCTCTTCAATTGTGGGGGCTCACACCAAATGCCATGTTTCCCTTATTTTAAATAAACCCCATAAAGTGCTTGTTTGGGATTCCAAGCTCATTACAGCTTGGCTTCTTTTCTGAGAACCACCTTGCCCAAATCACACAGGTAAGTGAGCATAACCCGGTGGCTACAACAGAAACCCAGGGACAAGAACAGCACAGGCTTGTCTCCTGACTCACTGTGGCTGGTGAGAAACCTTCCTTTCTCCTTCCCAGTAATTCAGCCTGACTCATCTATAAGTCAGGGTGCTGCAGGTGAGGATGACTGCCTAGCCTAAAAAGGCGTGAGGCATCCAGCAGCAGCTCTGAGTAGAAAGCATGATAGACACCAGCTACTGAAGGTAATGCATTTTCGAGCCGGTCAGAAGGCAGAACCGTCAAGCATCTGTTCAAAGCAGATTCTGCCTTTGAATCATGTTTTTCTGCTTCTCAAAGTCCTTTGGACAGAACCCAGCTAAAAGGACTGGCACATTCACCTTGGAACTGCCATGCCCTTCTAGCTTTCAGCCCTGGCCTCTAAGAGCATTAGCTCATCCCTGGGCTGGAGTCAGAGTAAAACCCATTCCCCAGAGCTTTACTAAAGCTATTTCTTTACCTCTGAAGCTGGTGGGTGAGCAGAGCTGGCTGGTTTTCACATGGAGCTTGCAATGGTGGAGATGGCTGGGGTGGCCGGATACAATCCTGAACCAGGCACCAGAAGAAAACAAGAAGGGTTTGCAATCAATAACGTCTCAACTAGTGAATTTAGAAGACACAGACTGGTGAAATAGGACATATCCTGATTCACCAAATACTCAATCCCTGAGCACAGCTCTGGCTATTGCAGCAGCTGTGTGAACATCACTGCTGAAGTCCTTCAGGCTTGCTTCTCATTCCAGCAAGCAGAGCAATCCACCCTCCTCCATCCCACTGGGACCCGCGCAGTTCTATCTGCGGCAACGCAGGAAAACACAGCTCGGACTTCAGAGGGTCTGGCTTGGACTCCGGCACCTGAATCTGCTGATGAAGAATCTGATGGTGCTGCTCCTGCTGGTACAACATGTGCTGCTGCTGGGTCTTCTCCAGCGTCCTCTCGTCCATGTGCCCACCATACATCTTCTGAAGCTGCTCGCACTCCTGTAACGACATAGCTGCTAAGTGACCTTTTTATTCATGGCACAGTTGCTGTGCAAAAAGGCACTGTCTGCAGCCTGAAAAAGCCAGTAAAGAAAGCCTAATCCATTTAATTTGGCAGAATCAGGTGGCTACTAACACAGCTCGCTGAAGCCTTAGATAAGAAAGGTATGCACCTGACACCAAGCTGATGCTATTGTGTTTCCTTAAAAATGCAAGCATAAAGCTTTAGTCACAGTAACTTCAAGGAGAAAAGAGCATCTCATATTTCTACCATGCTGCAAGGTGAAAGTCCTGTCCTGGGGCCAAATCCCGCTCAAGCCATTGATAAGGTGTGCGCTGGCTGCGCAGGCTTTGCTGCCACAGAAAACGTGGGGAGAACGGCAGCCGCAGTCTGACGGTGCCGACAGGACCTTGAGGGCACGCAGCGCGGCCCACGCGTGGGCCCAGCACGCGGCTTGCTCCCCAGGAAAGGCAGGGAGGGAAGCCCCCAGCCTGCAGGCGAACAGCGCGTACATTCAGAGGACACTCAGCAGGGTTGCTGCAGACAGGCAGGATGGAAAGAGCTCCTCAGCTGGAAAGCCGCTGCATGTCCTCAGCCATTAGCAGTAAAGATTGCACCTTCTGCTTCCCGAGGCAGCAAGGCTGAGACAATGAAATAGCCCTCGCAGAGACTCTTTCGCAGCCCCCCACCCCTCTCTTTTACCTGCTGAAGCTGTTTGATGCTACTGTTATTGCCCATCTTCTCCAGGTGGGCTTTGAAAGCCTGGATGCTGGCAGCACCATCAGAGAAGCGCCGAACCGGGGAGAAGCGTTCGGTGGGGAGGTGCAGAGTATTTGAGTCCTTGTAAATAGAACTGAACACATGGGGAAGCGGGTTAGTGAGGCCAGCTAAAAAACAAACTCCGGCACAGAGACATTTAATTTACACCAGCCGTGCCAAGCTCTACCTGCCTGCTCACCCGGGATAAATCACGGTTTAGATCAAGAAATAAAGTGCCACCGTCACTGTGAACAGGAAACGGGATTACAAAGCAGCCTCGGTGCCTGGGCAGATAAATGTCTTTCAAGGTTGGAGACTACTCGGCCACAAGCCAGGTTCCAGATGGGTAGCAACTCACTGTCCATCCATACAAATACATCTGTCCCTCGGAGGGAAAAGGTTTACAGAAACCACTCAGCATCCTAAAAATCTAAACCTGACCTCTCTGTTAGCCCCTTCCTCAGCCTTCCAGCTCCCCAGGGTCCCTGACTACGCCTGATGCCTGCAGAAAACAGGAGGGACATGTGGAGAAAGGAGCCTGACATGTTCTGCAGTCTCCCAGGAGGAAAGGGGGCTAGCATCCATGCTTAGAGATGCACTGAATTTAAAAAAAAATAAATTAAAAAAAAATAAAGAAGGCAGGACCATAGCTCTGCACAGTGAGGGAAATCTTCCTAGTGCATTAACCAAGCTGTCGCTCCACATGCAGAGCCTCCCAGTTGCCTGGATGCTTGGCACTGGGCAATCAGAAAGAGTACACTGGAAAAGCAGGCACAGCCAGTATCGGGGCAACTGCGCCCAAGGCACTACAAGCACTTTCCCTTCACAATGAGGTTTCTTCTTCACCATCAGAGGGAGCCAGATTTTTTCCAGGAGTCGTTTTCTTCCAAAGTTGGGGCTCCCCATTATCAAAGTCAAGCACTAAGCTCCTGCCCGGCCCTTAGGCGCAACCAGTGTTATCATGACAAAGCTAACTTTCTGTAAGCATGTCACAAGGTGCCTTATAACAAACAGTTATATAAATATAACGTAAAGTTTCTCTGCCTGCCCTAATGCTTTCTGTGCAAACGCAACCTACAAAACCCAGCAAACAACACTTAACGGTACGGGCTCCAACAGTAGCCTTTGCCTATGAGAAGGTCGCGGTGACGTGGTCTTTACAGCACCGACATCCTGGCGCTAAGCCCAGCAGGAGCCCATCTGCCTGCACACTGGCATCGTGAACTGTGTTACCACGGGCAAGTGGCTGCTGTGGCTACTCTGAGTGTATGGCTCTTCACCCAAGCCTGTTCCAAGAAGTGAAACTATTTTTCCCAGAGAGGCTGCCCCTTATCAGAAGGTGACTGATGCTGGACCGCTTCCAGCACGCTGGGTTCAGTTCTCGTCACTTGGCTTGCCTTAGCGGAATGTACTTCAGTTTCTATAGATTACACACAACTGTCTTCCAAGGACAGAGCTGTGCCCCTGCCTTTTGATGCCATCCCACCCGTTATCCTGACCCCCTGTTGCACTAATGGAAAGCAGAAGCTACAGATAAAATTACGCTGAGGTTCCCAAACCCATCCGGCCAAGGCAAAACAACAGTATCGCCTTGTACATCCCTCGTACTTCAATTCTGTTTTCACATACTAAGTTATCATGACCAAAACCAGACGCCACATAAGAAGGTGGCTTAAAACATCTTAAGTGCTACAACAAACCCCACCTGCCACACAAAAAGTGAGGTCTGCCTACGCGATGACACAAGACTGCTAACGGTTTCTGGGCCATATGCACCTTGGACACAACACGGGGCAATCTGTTTAGGCCATGGTCAGATGAAGTTTCCGTGATTTCACAGGTAAAACATGAGGCAGGCTCATAGCGTGTTATGACACCGAGGGTGGAATTAGCAGATACCACCCTGTTTGTAATCAACAAAACAGCCTAGGGACTCTGAAGCCAGGAGGCAGAGGTGACACCACCGTGTTTACAGGTTCAGTGTGTTTTAACAGCCTTGTTAAAAAGAAAAAAAAAAATCAATTCCTGCAGTGTGTGACGGACTCAGCTTACCTTTACGTTTTGAAGCAATCCTTAAAGCAGGACGCAGCACATTCTGGTTGTTTTGCAAGCTGCACTCCTCTTCCTATCAAGCTGTGACCCTAGAAATCTTTCCCCTCCTGCTCTTCCCACCCCCAAAGCACCTCTGTGAGGGAGTAACTTCAGGGTACTGAGGTGCTTATCTTGGCTTTCTGGAGTTCCAGCGTGGCACTAGCACTGCCTCAGTCTGCTCAGAGTTCACCTGTCTCTGCTGATTACATCAGTGCTCAGCTCAGCAGGTATCTGGCTACAATAAAAAGCGCTTTGTCAAGCTTGCCAGCGTCAGCTGGCTGAATGACTGAACACCAGCACCAATCCAGCCTGGTAGGCGACTGCTTTCTCAACAGCAGAGACCAACAGGCAGAAAACTGCAGTTCACAGCTGGCTTGCACTCTCAGCGCCGAGAGGTTCAGAGCACCGGTTTTAAGCTCCCTCTGTGGCATCAGCGTCTCCAGCTTGCTGCTGTGCCAAGGACTCCGTGTCAAATTAACACGTCTCTCCATCAGGAGTGCCCCACCCACGCATTTTGAGTGGGTTTGCATCCAATCTGCAGAGGTTCCCTCTTCCCCAGACGTGGTGATTTTTTTTCTTCCCACCCTGGCTTCCTTTCCCCACATCATTCCCATCAGAGGTTCGGATCAGAAGTGAAATGACTCTTGAGGAGCTTTGCAAAGAGACTGTGCAGTCAAAACACACAACTCTGGTGCAGAACAGTGAGGTTTTTAAGCTCTGGCGTAGGTGACTCTTGGTGCAGTCTTTTGCCTGCATCTGCCTCCAAAAAAAAGCTCTGTAGAAAATCTGCTCTCTACCGCTAGCTTGACACCTACCATTACAAGAGAGAAAAGCTCTCCTCTGAAGTGCATAGCTTATTCCCAACCCTTATGTGACGGCAGCCATTCTGGCAAATCACCTCCAGCCACAAAACCAGGGCCAGAGGGGAAAAGCCAGCCGATTCCTGCCCCTGCCATTGCCTGCATCTGCAGGCACGGAGCCTGCGCCAGCGCAGAAGTCCAGCGTTCCCAGCGCGGGCAGACACCCTCTGCTCCGTGGGTCCGCTCTCTGTGCCTGTTCCTCCTCCGCACCGCTCCCTGCCAAGCGGGATGTCCTCAGTGCTCCATTCCAGACGACATCTGAGCAGATTTCCTGGCGCAAAGCTGCCCGAACGGCCGGTGCCATTACTCACCGGTGCTGATCGGGTACCAGGTGTGGAGCCCAAGCCCGGGGTCGGAAGGACTGCTGTCCTAGCTGCCTCTGCAAGTCTGGAGGGATTTCAGCTGTAGGGTTGGTCATTGCCAGAGTGTGCCTTTTTGACCTATTTGCCAAGTATCTGCAACAAGCAGGAGCACATTTTATAAGAGACTGATGGGAGTACTCCAAAAACAGGGAGCGTTAGATAATCCAGAGTAAATGGGAAGGAAGGATGCTCGCTCCAGCACTCAGAACCAACCAGGGAGAAGCACGCCACGGACACGCTGCCCATGCCCGTCACGTCACTGGGTCTTCAATGCTTAGGGGACAAGCATAGTTTTAGCTGCTCATGTGCTACTGCCAGCCTCAGAAGGGAAGACTAGCCATTTGCTCTTCCCAGCAGGAAAGCCACATTTCATCTCAAGGGGAACGCTGGTATATCCCTTTGGGAATACCCAGGTGGCCACCTGCCCTGCACGTGGATTCGCTCCACTAGTGCGGGTCTGCCTCCCTCTCCCAAGGCCCCACCGAGCACCAGGAAAGTCCGCTGCATGCATGGAGCCAAGAGACGAGTCACAGATAACCCTAGCAAGAGCTGGCCGGAGAACGTGTGCGGAGTGGAGCTGCCGCTCAGCCACACGCTTGTGGGATGGCCTCTGAGCTCCAGAGCCACCCTGAGACACCCCAGGGCTAGCCGCGAGCAGCCGCCAGCTCATCACAGCAGGGGAAGTGGGCACGAGGGCCACCCCACCCGAGATTACGGGTGGGTAGAGCCTCTGGCTGCCCGAGGAGCATGAGGAAGGGCGCTCGGCCGAGGAAGGCTGGTGCCTGGCCCGAGTGCGCCATCTAGTCCCTGCTCTGCTCTCCGGGGAGTGGGAAATCGCCCAGCCTTGCAGGAAAGGCCGGCGAGAGGGTCCCTTCCTCTGGAGCCACCAGCGCTCAGGCTGGGCTTGCCTCTTACACCAGAGCCTGTGGGCAGCAGCTTCAGCCCAAGCACCCTCTGCACCAGAACTAAGAAATCACAGCTCCTTCGCAAACTCTCTAAAGACTGAGGGAGCGCGCAGGGCGCAGCTAGGAGCCTCTGCTTTGGCAAGGATGTGACGAAGGGCCAGGCTGCCCTGAACTGCTGGTTACCGGTTGCGGTGATGCTCAGAGCAGCTGGGGGCACGGGGCCAGAAGACAGAACAAGTGAAGCACCTACCCGGGACACCCTGGCTTGGGACGAGCGCGAGGGCTCGCACTTTACCCGCTCAAGGCCAGGTGGGATTAAAGCCCGCTTACCAACCCAACTATTTCAATTCTTGTGAACTGGCAGCAAGAGGCAGCGGTGCTAACTGTGACAAAGATCACTTGGCCAGCGACACCAGGGGTACTACAGGGAATTCTCGCCCTCGCTCTCATCCCCTGCTAAGGCTCCCTGCAACTGGTGAAGCAGAGAAGAGCAGCAAGCAATAAAGTTGTTGCCTTCTCCAAACCCAGGCTCTCTTTGCTCACTACTGAAGCCACTTAAGCAGAAGACAGCAAGTTAAGAGAATGAAGAGCGCTTAGCGTTGTGGTAACTTGCCAAAGTCGGTGCCATTAGCTGTTTAAGAATCATTTGATGCAGACGAGGAAAGTTTCCCAAAGAGCTTTACAGCTGTGGTTTGCAAAGACCATTTTATTACAGACCTCCAGGGAACAATCCAATCATGAGCTATAACAGCGTTTTGGGTGGAAGAAAGTTTCCCAAAGCTCAAAGGAGATGTGACTGTTCCCTGGAGCAGAGAAAAGACTGCGCTCTGTTTTCAAGGTCAGATAAAGGAGGGCAAAAACTGCTCACTGGTGGCTGCATACAGAGCCTTTGGAGCAGTGTTCTGAGAAGCTAAATATTTGCATCTGTCCCTGATGTTAACACTATTTACCCTTCTCCTCTGATGACTGCTGACATGTTGCAACATAAGGGGGTGGAGAGTGAGTTAACACACAACCTGGACAGGGCTCCTTCTGGGCCATCTGGTGGAAGAAGAACATGTGGTACAAAGGGACTAAGGGCAGCACCAGCGAGAGCAGCAAAGTGACCTACAGGTCTGAAGAGATTTGCCTTTCGGTGGGATCCGAGCACCTCAGCAGCTCGCAACCTACAAAATACTACATGGGGGTTTCAAAATCTTTCCAGCTGAGCCAATGCTTTGACTTAAAAGACTCAACTGAAACTTTAGGTTTTAGAATGGGGGAGGTGAAAATCCACCCAGGTAAGATGTCCAGGCACACCCTTGCCAGGAATCAGATTTACCTGATTGATTCGTGCAGTCAGGAATACTGTCTACCACCTGAAGTGTGGTCTGTGGACATTACGGGCCCTAAATTACAACTTTTAGTAGCTAGCTAGGCAGCACAGCTGTGTGTACAGCCTACGAGGGAGGGCAGCGCACTGTTAGGATACAGCAGCTTAACAGAGGTTGAACACAGCCTACGGTGCCCGGAGATGCACGCTATGCCTTAGCCTCATTTCCTTCACTGCGCTGCTTTGCACTGGGACGGCTCACGAGCGTGTCCCTTCCCAGTATCGTGACTCAGTGTACGACCAGCAGCTCGTGAAGCTGGAAAATACTGTGAGAGTGAGGGCGAAGATGGGGGTGGTGAAGAACTGGAGCATAAGGCCATGCAGAAGACACAAGGTGTGCTCTGCGTCGACTCTGAGGTAGGGCTGGAAGCAAGTTCTTTCACGTGTACCAGCTGTGACTTTCTTCTGAGCTCAGGTAGGCAAAAGGAGTCTCAGCGCACACTCTGCACAATCTGTCAGCGCACACACCCACCGTTCAAATCCCCCCTTCGCTCTGGAGCACTGAAAGGAGAAGAGCCGGCAAAGGCTCTGGATGGAGTACGACCTCCACCGGCCCCAGCGTCTCTCTGCCTGCAACCAGCCCCCGGTCCGAATCCTGCTCCTGAGCGCAACCCCTGAGGAAGCGCTGCCTTACTCCAGGTGCTGGCCTGTACAAACTGGGGGGGAATCCCAAAAACTTGTCCAGTTCGAGGTAAGAAGCAGGAGCACTCCACACCCACACCCGCTACATGTTAGACGGTTAACAGAGAGGAAACTATGCAAAAGCTACTAAGGAAATGTTAGCAAGGACACAGTTAGTGTTTTCATGGAGAAGGTACGAGCATCTTTTACCCGCTTCCTCATATGTGTTTGGAGCAAAGAGAACAGAAGTTTCCAGCCTGAATACCTAATAATCCTTTCCTTACTGGAGCAGACTATTTTAAGGCCTACTGCTAAATTAGAAGCTAGAGGTACCCGCATTTCCAGCAAGCTCACTTTGTTTAAGGCATCAGAGTTGGATGTTTACTGCATGTCTTGATACAAAAGCTGCATTGACACCCAAGGCCACAGATGAGATCTTCCTACCTCCTCATTCAGCAGGGAGGGGTGAATCACTTAGCACTCATTTCGCAGGTTAGTGTGGATGGCATGCTGGTGCACACTAAGCAGAGGAATTTAGCAGTTTCGGAGTTTCTGGAGAACCTACTGCTCAATTAGCTGACCATTTCAGAGGGAATCCAGCTTTGTAAGCACCTAGTAGTGTCAGAGGAGTAATTGCCTACAGTAACCAATGCCCACAAGAACACGAGAAATGCTGAGCCTTTGCTGTAATCAACATTGTTGCCTGCGATGAAGCTGCTGTGTTTTAATTCAGCTGTGAACACCACAGGGTGAGCCTCTTGGAGGTACTAGGGGCAAATGTTAAGGGACTGGGAGTTACCTCTGCACAGCTTCCTGATCTGGCTCCCCATCAGAGCTCTCCTCATCCACAGGGGTGACAGCTGGGACAGCCTGTAGAGAGGAGAGAAGAGAAGAGAAGCTGTGGGTTCTAGGAAGGGGCCAGCACAGTCCCAGCCGCACAGCCGACCTTCCCAAACAAGCTTTCACAAGGATTCATGTCAGCTCTGCCACAGCACCAAGGACACTTGGCCAAGACCCCCTTCCAACATTCCTCCCCCAATCAAAATGGCCTTCACAAGCTTGCTGCTACCAGGAAAAATCATCAATACAGATGCGTCGAGGAAGAAAGAATGTGCATTAATGCCGAAGATGGACATTTTCATTTTCTCTATCAGATCAGCACAGGAAAAGAAAAGTAGCCGTTACAAAAAGCTCACAAACACTTTGTCAATTCCGGAGAGGAATACCATCTCAGCTGCTGGCTACAGGAGAGCACAGCAACTCTCCCACAAGGGGACAGAGCACCCGCCGCTCCAGAGTGGGGGAACCTTTGGAGGCACACGGGCACGCTCCCTGCAGTGCTTCCAGGGTGCTACCGACTGAGCCTCCTACTCCGTCTGCTCCGACCTGGAGGCGGTCACCTCTGCCTGCAGGAGAAGATATTTGTAAGCGTGCCACCGATTGTCTTCTTTCCTTTTGCTACTTACTGGCGTCATAGTGACGAGCGGAGATGGACCTCGAGGACGTTTGAGCAGTTGCTGTGCATGTAACTGGATGTTAGCTCCGCCGTCCGATGCCCTCCGGCCCAGGGGGCCCATGCCATTCAGGAGCTGCAGCGTGGGGGGCTGCAGCAGGGACTGCTCCTGGGAAGCACACAAGTGCCGTTACCAACCCTGTACCGGATCCCAGCCTGAGGTCACAAACCCAGACCCTGGCACGAGAGGAGACGAGCCTTCTGGGCTTCGGGAGAGATGAAGGAGTGTCACCCACATCTCAGAGCTGACGTGGGGCAGAGAGGAGCAGCGTCAGTGGAAAAATAGTGTTTAACTCTATTTCCCTGCACTCTGCTTTAGTCACCAGGCAGGCTGCAACCTGCAGCTTCAAAGCCAGGCAGCGCAGTCCTATTTCTCCCCAGCCCAGTAATTCATTTCACATCGCAGTGTTATTTCATTCTCCAGCTTTTTAAGTAACCAACTAGACTCACACCTAAAGAGACAGACAGCAAGAGGGAAAATACTGGAGCTTACGGAGTCCAAGGAACTGGCAAATAGAGCACGCGTGAGCGCACACATGCACCTACACGGTGGGGAACACGTGCATCGGGCAGTACCTTGTACTCCAGCTGACCCGTGGGCTGCAGGTTCTGCCTTGGCAGCACGTTGTGCATGAAGTTCACGTTCGGGGTCACCTGCAGGAATGGAGCCTGAGGAGTGACGCGGGGGAAGCCAGGCAGGAGCTTCTGTAGATCTTCCATGACTTCCGTCCTGTGCAATCACAGTTGTAGGCAGGTGAATCAGCAATGATGGGAAGAGAAGCACCCATGGGCCCAGTGGGCTCTGCTTCCCTTCACAAAAAGGCTTCTCATTGCTTGGGAAAATGGTCACAGAGACAAAGAGACAAGAAAAGCCACTCTTTGTGGCTTGGCTTCTTATTTGTCCCTTTTCCCCCTGCAGGTTGAGATTTGCCAGAACTAGCTCTTTGCACTAACCTCAATCGGATTTATCACAAAAACTTCACCTAGGACACAACAGCAGTGCAGCTCAGGTGAGAAACTGGCTTGCACACCAGTGAACACCACCACAGCTTACACAGAGCTAATCAGGAAAAGGAAAACATCTCATCCTCAGCTGCAACACTAACCCAGTTGTACAACAGGACTAGGACATTTAAAGGAACGCTTTTGCTAAAGAGACACCTTGAATTTCTTTCTCCATCTAGCAAAACCCAAGTGTACAAAAATAACCCCAAGCCGCTCGTGGCAGGAATGGGAAAACAGAGGTTTGGTACTAGCCACGATACAGATACATGTGCTCATCGTCACCTGGCCTGGCTAGAGCAAAGCAGAGACCGGGGACCGAGGGGCACGCTGTGAGGTGTGTCTGCCAGCCCAGGAACTGGAGACCACTGGCAGACCAGAAGGTATACTCTTGTACACTCTGTGGTATATACTCTTACATACCAGAGAGCCTAGAAGTCCCCCTTTGGGCACTAGCCTCCCATCTGCCAATGTAGCACACGAATTTGCATCTCAGAAGGACGAGAATCACGTGCTAGGAGTAAATCTTCAGGTTCCCTTAACCCTCCATCAGGGAGTTAGGGTCCAGTACTAACCGTGGGTCAGCAACTCCAACCGTGTGCCTTCTCATGGAGAGGTAACGGACCAGAGCTTCAGGCGATGGCTCTTCCCCTTCATCACTGTCCAAGTTCATTGTTCCGTCAGTCTGGGCAAGCAAAACAGTTGAGATGTTGAAATACAATGTGAGGATCAAGCAAAAGACTTCGATGCAAGCCCAGGAAAAGAACTTGTAGGGGTCATCAAGGGGTGTAGCTCACCTCCACAATTTGGTTTTCAGGGTTGATGAGCTGGACTTGTGGCACATTGATGCTCAAGGTATTGCCTGTCTGTTCTGTCTGCTGAGCAGAGATCAAAATCAGAAGACATGAAGCTAACATCTCTTACAAACACTGATGGATTAACACCAGTGCACAGACGTGAGCACTTGGGAACAGGGAGGCTACCCTGAAGCCAGTGAAGATTTATTCTTAATTCTCAAGGGTTTGCCTGATTTCCCCCCATCCCTTCTGTTCAGACAGTGTCAGCATCTCTTCTGCTTCCCGTAGGACCCGGCCTCTCTTAAAGCAAGTACTCATTTCTTGGACAGCAGCACAAACTGAGGAAGAAGCACGGCACAGCAGTCTCAGTCTGTAAATTCTAGCTCCCAACCAGCAACCCCCACCTTGCCTTCTCCTCTGTCACCAAGCTAACATGAGACTATCTGAAGGGTATTCACTGAGCCCACAGCCAAAGAACAAACTGTTCCTACTCTCAGGATTATGGCACCCTAAATACACAGGGAATTCTCAGATGAAGAACGTTTTGACAGTCCTGCCAGGATGAAGACACCCACGAGCAAGTGGGAGTTTAGCAGGTAAGGGACTGGCTGGCCCTCCTTCGCAGGGCTGGAGGAACACTACGCAAGCAGGATCTACCTGGATGTTAGCGGAGGTGGGGAAGGTCATGGTCCGTGGTATATTTGGAGATGCTGCAATGCGCAGATTCTTGTTTCTCTTCAGACGGTCGCAGAGCAGGCTGTAGATTGCACTGTAGTGATCATAGGCATCGGCTCGTAATGACTGAAAGAGGAAAAAGGAAGATGTGGTCAATTCTTTTTGTCAAGAAAAACACCAACAAAATACTCCATGCAGTGCTGAGGTTGCTCAGTTACCGGAGGTGATGAGCAACAACCACAGCTGTTCCATCTGCAGCGGGAACAGGCAGGACGTAACTGCCAGCTGCGGTCTCCTACCTGAATTGTGCGCTCCTTGTCCAGCCCCATGTCCGCCATTGCCAGCAACACATCCTCGTTCAGCGGCTCCATCTGCCTCTCAGTCTTCAGGTGCTGACACTCTGCTATCAGCTGTAAAAGCACAGACACAGGCTTCAGCACTGACATTCCCGAAGGCACGCCGATGAGTCACAGCGCTCCGAAGAACCTGTGTGCCAGGCTCCGGCTGCAAGCTGGCACGAGCTTTGAAGGGTGATGGCACACCAATTCAAAATCTAGCACCTTAGGCTCTCAGTGCCGGGGGGGAAGATACAAAAAAATATATGTGTATGAGGAGCGACAGGGAAAGCAAGACCAGGAGACACAGAAAGCAGAACAGCAGCACTCGGTATGAGAGTTCTCAACCAGCCGAAATGAACATTGCAGCGCTACGTGCCCAGAGCCCATTTGCAGCCTGGCAGGCGCTGAGCAGACCCCACTTGCCCAGTGGCTCGCTTCTGCTGCTCACCCTGTCAAACTCCGCATCAGCCTCCCCAAGCTTCATCCACTTGTGTTTGCAGATCTGCTCCATGGAGAGCCGCTTGCTCGGGTCCAAGACCAGCATGTGGCGGATCAGATGTTCACATTCTGCAAGGGAAGAGAGGGGCTGGGTGACCCGCAGGGGGGGACACTGCTTCTGGAGCAGGCAGCCTCGTGCTGTGAGGGCCAAAGCCCTTTTCTGATTTCCAAGCAACGCACTTCTCTGTAGAAAGTCATACATAGCAAAAAATACTGCTTCTTCTGCCCTTCGCACCCACTCAGTCCCCAACGTGCCACTTGGCCGCAGATATTTGATTTCCCCATGCTAGGAAGGAAGGAAGGAAGCCAGCCACCTAGGCCAGCGGGCCCCTATGCTGTTTGCCGGAGCCCCTAGGTGGCATGCTGTCACCCTGTCCCTCCCCGTCCTGCCGCCACTGCCCAGGGACACGACGGGCTTTTGGGGGTTGAAGAGCAAAGTAGCCTCTGAACATTCCCCACTCAGCAGCAGCTCGCTGTGAATGATTCCTCCATCGTGTCACGTGCATGCTGTCACCATGGGGCACTGCTGAGGCTCTCCCTCAGCATACCTACCTATGACTCGTTCTTAAGTGAAGGTGGTTTTATCCGAGGATGAATCACACTTTTCAAAAAAACAAGATTCATTACTAAAGCGTTCCGAAGCAGTTTTGCAGAAACGGGACAGAGATTCATCTCTAATGTGGCTACTGCTCGAAATTCACGTGCCACAATGCTGCAAAAAGCTTCTGGTCTAAAACAGGTATAGAGAGAGCCTCCACATTCCTAAATCGCTCCTCCATTTTTAGCTTTCGCATCTCCCAAAATTTAGAAAGAGAGTATCTTTGACAACATTTTGCTATAGTTTGTATAGTTATATACATGAAAGCTAAGATTTTAAATAAGAGTACTTTGGTTTCTAAATTCCAGATTCAGAACTCATTTCAGCTTACGCTACAAACCACCATCCAGTGGATAAGCTTCCTGGCATAGCGCTTCACTGGTATATAAATCAACTGGTATACCATAATTTCAGTGCTCCAGAGAATCTGTAAGCCTGCCCAGCACCATGGTGCGTGCGCCCCTTACCTGTGGACATGAAAAATGGAATGCGAAATTTCCCGCTGAGCACCCTCGCCCGCAGGTTCTGCAGCGTGCTCCCGTCGAAGGGCAGAGCGCCGCAGACCAGCACGTACAGCACCACGCCGAGACTCTGCGTCCGAAACAAAGGTCGCATCAGCGATGTTAGAGGGAGAGACTGGGAGACTGCAGTTAATTGCAGTAAATGTTGTTTCAATAGAATAAAACAATAATAAAGAACAAGCAAATCCCATGGGAGCGGACCTCGTTGACATCTCAGCCCCAGGCCAGGTTAATTCCTCCTTCAAGCCTAATTTAGGCTTTCTTTGGAGCCTCAGAAGCCCTTCCACTCATTGGGCTTGGCTGGCAGAGCTTGGGGAGCCCCACGAGGAGGAGAGGCAGGGCAGCAGGCCACCGACCAAGCCAGCGTGGAAAGGCAGGGCTGCAGGGCAAAGCAGGCTTCTCAGCACGGCACAACTAGTGCCACACAGGAGACTGTTCCAAGGCTCCACATTAACCTGCTCTCCACAAAAACCTCGTAGAGCAAAACTTGAAAACTTCCTCTCAGCTCTGCCAGATGCAAGCCCTACTGCAGTAAGTACTCTGCCATTCAATAGCACCAAAGTAAACTGTATTTTTGGGAAACTAAATGAAAATGTACATCTGGGCAACTAATATTTTTGGCACATGCCTCCCAGTAAAGAAAACATGTCAGACAGTAGCCAGAATAAAACTTTATAAGCATTTCTTCAAAAAACATTTTGCCATATCGGGAGCTTCTCCCCAAGACAGGTACTAAGTATTCATGAAGCAAAGCCAAACAGAGCAAAAATTAGATCAAAGTAAGACAGAATGAGGTTCATCGCATACCCAAATGTCAACCTTTGGCCCATCATATTCCTTTCCTTCAAAGAGCTCTGGAGCAGCATAGGGAGGACTCCCACACCAGGTTTTCAGCAGCTGACCGGGTGTGAAGATGTTGCTGAACCCGAAATCTGAAAGAACAAAGAGAAGCGATTAGAGGACCATGATCCCCTCCAACCATCCTGAACAACTGGTATATAAGTAATTTGCCAAGTCCGGTAAAGTCAGGTACAATCCTGTAATGGATAACCGACACACAGACATGGGAGAAACAAGCACGCAGAAGAGGCAAGAGCAGCAAGAGCAACGCCGAAACCACCCAGACAGCGTGCAACTTCTCTCCGTACCAAGAGAAAAAGATCAAGTGTTAACAGCGGCACCTCCACTGCAGACAGTGTAAAGCACACCCGTGTAAACAACCTGCTGCAAAATACCACGACTTAGGCCTGCTTCACATACTATAACCGCACGGCTTTCACTTAGCAGAACTTTCTAAAAGCCTGCTCTTCACTTTCCATCCATGCCATTTCCATGCTGGAGTCATTACACCATCAATCAGATCAACTAGGGCTGCTGCAAGTCAGGCAGATGGTTTGAAATGGGGCTTCCACCTTGGATTCAAGAAATCCCACATAAATCCTGTGTGTTAAGTTGCAACCTTCAGCTTCTCCCCTGTCAAATTTCACAACTTCCTTAGGGCCAGGGCAGCCGCCAGCAAGGACAGAATGCAAAGACAAAAAGAACAGGAATTTTGATTTTCCAGAAAGTACTATGTGAGCTGGTTATGGCAGGCAGCTCTACAAACCAAGTCAAATTATCCACCAACAGCAAATAATGAAAAAAAAAAAATCCTGAAAGAGAAATTAAAAGAGAGGTCTTAACCTTAAAAGCAGTCAACCATCAGCTTAGCAGGCACCAATGGCATTCGCTGCTAATTAACCTGCCACCCCCTGGCACACAGCTGGGACTCACGCTGGAGAGAAGAAAGGAACCAAAGTCTGGAGTCAAGAGAAGCAAGCTTTTTCTTACAAAGAGACAGACTCTTTGCTAATAATTTATTTCTTTTTCACCTCAATTGAATAAAAGTAAAACACACAGCCTCTCTCACACAGAGAAATACTGAGAAAAACTGAGAAATACTCACAGTTTGCAAATTCTAACCGATTAAAGCAAAAAGCATTGTGGCCAAAAGATACAGTACAGCTGCAGAAAGGACAAGTCTTCGATAAAGAGCTTAAGATTCATTTTGACTCCGTCACTGGTCAGAGCTGCAGCACATTGGGGATAAAGCACAGCTGACTGCCTACCTGGCAGTGAAATGCAGGAGCCCAGTGCTGTGCAAGGAGAATTTCGCTGAAAGTGCCTGTTTTAATATGTGTATACAAACAATAAAGAATATCTGAGATGCCAAAGCACAATAGCTCTTTTCCTGTTTCTTGAAATAATTACACATTCATCTTGAAAATTCACCTTCCTTTTCATATGCTTATTTCTCCTTACAGTCTTTCATATGTGCTTCAGAAGGTAAGAACTTTGGCATGCATTCTTCAGCTATCAAGAAAGGTTTGTTTTCCTGAATCGCATAAGAATATAGGTTTGCCCTAACACATTCAAGACTACCCTGCTGAAAGGGAATCGGTTGTCTTTTTTAAGCCTCCTTACACCAGCACCCAGAGTTTCACACCAACTTCCAAGAGCAGCCACCAGCGAGGCCCAGCGACGGCTGACACCTCTGTGCAGGAGGCACAGAACGCTCCACGGACAAGGCACAGACTGGTGAGTCTGTGCTCCCACTCGCCACTTTTCTTACGGGATTTTCCATGACCTGATTTCAGGTGACTCTCCTCGCCTCCTTCCAACAGCTCCTGCTAGCTCAGCTCCAGAAGGGTACATCCCATCCCTTTGCAGGGGCAAAATTTGCAATGCAGAGATGGTTTACGCTTGTGAATACCACTTAGCGTGGCGTGCTCCTGCAGAAATACCCGGAGTACAGACAACACTGCTCAAACCCAACCTCAGAACGGAGTGCAGAGGTGGTAAGTGTTTTTTAAAAGCATCACAGTATCAAAACAAGGCAGTTAAACACCTTTTAGGGTTTTACTGTTGGAAACGAAGTCATCTAAACTTCCAAGACACAAGAGCAGTCAGCCTTCGGAGGACTATTTCAGGGAAATAGTACACAGCGGCACAATTCTCTTCTGTCTCTGCAAGCTTCAGAGCTGTTGTGTCTCACGTTTAGAGTGGGATGCGTAACGAGTGCCTGAATTACAACTACCAGAGCAAGCGACAAAAACCACAGCTCTAAATGTATTTCCACATCCTAACAACAAAGCATCTGTAGTCAAGTTCAGATGTAAACTCTTTCCAACTGTGCAGGAACAGGCTGGAATTTTGGTACTTCACAGATTTTGAGCAAATTATTCTGGTGTAGTTACTTTTATTTGTCCTCCTGTGTACTCAGGTGGGCTTTGGGAACCAGCCATCTTTTCAAAGCAGTGAATATCACCCCATGCAGCCCGGCACCAGCTCCAGCTCTGCATGGGACAGAGGGACGAGGCGTTCCCTGCTCTACCCAGCACTTTCTGGGCTCCGGGTGAGTCACGCTGCTCATCTCTGCGGGGAGCTGGAGCCAGACGCCTCCGTCTTAGACAACGCGCTGCTCAAAGGCTGGCAACAGCTTCCAGCACCCACCTGTGCTGCAGGAACTGAGGTCAGGCCTGGTGAAAACAGCAGGCTTTTTTAAAGCCCCCTAAAAAGTTAAGGGGGAAGACTTGAAAACCACAAAGCAACAAATAACAAAACAAAATCTAAAAACCAAACAAAAACCCAAACTACAACTTAAACTTTCTTAAAAACTATGAGAAGTCACCCCAGTCCAAGGAGACGTACAAATCCAAATCCCCAGGGAGCAACCAGGTCTCTTTCTACAAACAGATACAGAGGGAGAAGAGCAAGGTAAAAGTCACAATGATGTGATAAAGGGAGAATAAGGAAAATATTTACAAACATCTATGCACTACAGAAAACCCGAATGGGCCCTGTCCCTCACGTTTCCTCAGAGCAGAGCTTCAGAGAGCTGGTTCTAGCATCTGCACAACAGGGACTTTTATCCTCAGAAGGTGAAAGAGCCAGCAGGCTCCTGCAAATTAATGCAAAGCAATGCCTAGATTGGATTCCTCTCTGAAATCGTACCCCAGGAAGGCCTGGGTATTTAGCAATAATCTCAGCTCCTGGCTGAACTCTCTGACTCGGAGCACCAGCTAACGTAGTGCCAGAAGCTACTGACTCAGACTTTCAGAAGGTACATCGGAGAAAAAGCATCCATGGGAAAAATGAGAGCTAGGGTAACAGCGTTTGTATCTTACTGTTTACAGAAAAACTATAGTTGCAATCACTCCCAAACCCCCAAACCCGAAAAGCCCACTTGTAGTCACCACAGAGTGAGAAGAGCAGCACTAACCTACTGCCGGACTGCTGCGCTACCTCGCAAAGTGTCAGGCACTGAACCGATGCTGAGCAAGGGCTGCAAAGCTGCAAATGGGGGTGAGCAGCAATGCGCTAGAAAAGCTGCGCTGCTGAGAATCTGAAAGGTCTGAAAAACTCCAGAAGCTGCTGAAATGCACGTCAAAGACTGCGCATATGGCCATCAGAACCACCGCAAAGCTGTAGTCCCTTCAGAAGACACTCGAGATGCATCAGTAGCTTCCATCAGCTGAATATTAAATGTGTTATTGAAGAGGTTTGAGCTAGACACTGCCAACGGGTTTGGCAGGGCGAGTTTAGCTGATCTTCCACCCTGCATAGCAGGGCTTTGTACGTTTCTGTAGTATTTATTCTGGGAGGTCTGGTGTGAAAGATCAGTTGCTATCGCTTCTTTTTTTGCTCTTGAAACAATGGAAGAACTGGCGTCAAGTTGTAACTGATGAGTTATAGAGACAAAACTTAATACTTGGAAAATCCTATACTATAAATCAGCTTTTCCAGGCTACTCTTCAAATCACAGCTGTATCTTCCTGCCAAGTCAAACACTACCACCACCAGGGTGGGAACTATCTTCTAGAGTCCATTCCGGGAGGAGAGATTTGGAAGGAAAATAGTTTCCAACTCCCTCAGATGATAAAAAAGTTTCCATAATTTTCAGACATCCACAGAGCTTGTCAGCATGCTCGTGTGGACATTTCTTTAGGAAATCCAGCTGTATTCCAGTTTCTACCTGGGTTAGTTTTTAACTTTTCTTTCTCTTTATTTGCTGGGCACCCTCCCCACAACATGCAGATTAGATTTTACCCCATGAACACAAGATGGCCTCAAATCATTAGTGCATCCATTTGCATGAAGCGGGTACCAGGCAGCGCTGCTTACAAAGCCTTCCTGAGCAGCATTTCTCGTGGGAGCCCTGTTACCTGCCACCCACTCCTTCCACTGCCCAGCGCAGCGGTTACCAAGAGGTGCTTGCCGCTGCCCTCCTTCTGTACAGAGGCTCTTATCCAGTATTAACATTGGTCCCAGACTGAACAGTTCTATAGCCTTAAGCATCCCTTTTCTTAAAAAAAAAAAAAAAATCGCGTTACAAACCCTTGTAAAAGCCAACAAGGTCTCCAAGGAAGTCTACTAAGAGAGGGGACAAAGTGCTTTCCAAAAATGCTCTGCTGTGCACTAGGCTCTAATAGAATTAAATGGTAAGTATTTTCTTCCGATGCAAGAGCCCGTGAAATGAGATGACCAGGGCATACTAAATCCTCTTGTTTCAATCGGTTGCTCCATAATCCCACAAGGCTACATCAAGCCAAGCCTAGGTAGTGCAGCCCAGGCTCACTACAGGAGGATCGCAGACATGCAGGCCTGGGCTAGGTCAGTCTGGAAACCACCTAAAGTGCAGCTCTCTCTTTTTTTATTAGCAAAAACCCCACTGCCTGGCAAAACTCTGGGAACAGACGGTAAGAGCCTGTTTGTGTAGTAACTTCAGCTTCTCTCCCTGCAACGAGTAAGATACCCAAAGCACCGGGGCTGTTCTCTTGCTCTGTCAGACAGCACAGTGAAGTGATTCCACGAGTGCCGTTTCCCCTCCGCTGCTCTACCATAAGCCTTGCCATCCCTACTTTTCCATTCTTCTTCTCTCACCTAGTCCGACCTGTTTCAGAGAAGTCCTAAACCAGCAGCAGGACTCAAAACGAGGTCAATTTTTCAATATTAGTCTTGCCCATTATCCAGTGTATTGGAACACCGCAGCATCTAGAGGTGCATATCTGTTTGTGGAGCCAAACCTGCTTTTCTTTTTTCTTTCCTTCTTTTATTTTGCACTGCTCTAAGGGAGACGTAAGTCTCCTGGCTACAACCTGGCAGTTTCAGCTCTGGGCAGCAGGCCACATAGAAATCCAAAGCTTCCTTTAGCTGCACTGTGTTTCCTTCTTTCTGAATACCTGGAAGCAGCCAATGCCTACATTTATTAACTTCTGAAAGCAGCTGCCGCCTTCCTCCCACACCGCTGGTCTTAGCTCACCTGCTATTTTGATGTTAAGGTTGGCATCCAGAAGTAGATTTTCTGCCTTCAGATCTCTGTGGACTATATTACGGCAGTGACAAAAGTTGACGGCGGCCACTATTTGCTTGAACTTTCTCCGGGCTTCCTTCTCTGCCATACGCCCATGGGCCACCAAGTGATCTGCAAGGGACGGAGCAAAGAACAAAGCAGTTATTCACACAGCGAGCGCAATCCAGACAGGGGCTTCTCGCAGGCTTGCGGCGAGCGACGCGGAGGGTGGAGATGGGGAACGACGTGGGCACCAGCATGTTTTCCAGGATCCAACATCAGATGGGGTCACCAATGAAGCTATATGGGAAGGGACTCCGGCACACGGCTGCCACAGCAGCCCCTACCCGGGCTGTCTCCAAGTGAAAGGCTTTAAAATTACAAACCTTCCTCTAATTAGAGGACAGCTGATGGGGCCGGCTGGAAAATCAGAACTGTTTTGTGAGAACTGTAAAAATTTTAAAATTTTTGTCTGTATCAAAATAAAGCTTTTTTTAAACCTTCTTCTTCGGACAAATACCAAGCCTGAAAATACTTGCTACTGTTTTGGTGCAATATTCAACATTGCATCTCATTACGAAAACAGAGCTTGCCTCTACTACAGAAATCTGAGTACTCTCAAGCATTTTGTTGAAAATCTATACTCTCACTCAAAGATAGGATTTGCTGCCAGCTAGGCTTTCCTTAGAAGCTAGCATCACACACGTGGGAAAGTCTCTCTAAGAGATGAAAGGTGGGCATACAGCAGCAACCCAACTTAACTCCATCCGCTTAACACCTCAAAGCGCCCAGACAGAGAAGCCACACATCACACCACCCTGCAAGCAGGGATGGACAGGCAGGAGACAGGCAGTAGAAGTGGCAGCAACAAGAGGAGAAAAAGCACCCCGCTCCCCTGAAGCATCGGCAGAACAGGCAACCGAAAACTCTGCCAGAAAAAGCGTAAAAATCCAAACGAGCTGCAGTTATGAAATACATTTCTTACCCTTTCCTAATATCTCTCTACTCTATAAGCAAACCTAGCTAAAACTGATGTAGCACGGTAAGCAGTTTGCAAGATTACGGAGTTAAGGACAGTGCTACGAGTAAAAAAAAAAAAACACACCAAACCCCAAGAGAAAGCGGAGAAGCATCCTGGCTAGTCCCCAGCAACCACACATGGGACCAGGAGTGCTCCCGAGTTTGCCCACCATGTGGGAAAGGCTTCAGAGGTCTGCACAAGCCTTCTCCCCTCCAACGTGGGCCACGGAGTGGGTTAGCAGAGGCACTAGCAAGCCAGACCCCGAGGGCTTATCTCCTTGCCCACCTCAAGAGGCTACTACTTCTCGGCTGTGCTATCGAGTCGACCTCGAAAACTTCTGGACAAAAATAGGCTGAAGTGGTTCATTTCACTCCATAACCTCCAATAAACTGGAGAGCTCGATAGACGAGATCTGTTCTTGAAAATAATAAAAATAAATCACTTCTGAAGGTTTCTCATCAGGTGGTTGTATTTTTCCCAGTCACCCATTAATTAAAATACCTGCGACATAATTGACTTGCAGTAAATACTAATTACCAAGATCCATCAAAGCAGTTCTGCTGGCTCCTGACTGCACAGCAACCTACTTCTCTACATTTGACTGCTCATGTTGTGCAACAGAGTGGAGTTGTTTTTCAGAGAACTTGTCAATTAAGTTCTATTCATCGGATAAACTTATTCCATGTGCAATTCTGAACCAGGCCTGGGGAAGGAAATCCATGACCAATTCTGATATGACCCTCAAGTCACTTGCTAGGAAAAGCAAACTTTACTATCTCAAACAGCCCCATCATATCGTATTTAGTCATTTGCGCAGTCATAAGGTTTTTTACTCTACAGAGTTGGGGGACAGACAAGCAGGGTTGAGCAAGGGCCCGCTCCAATTTAAGCATCCCCACTGATCGACAGCGCGTAGCTCGGCTCCTAAACAAGTCAAGGTCATTCACATCTTTTACTCCACTTGAATCTGGGAGCACAGCCTGCCGATATAGCCGGTGCTCTTAAAACAAAGCGCAAGGCTCCTATCTCTCTCAAACAGCCCCTTCTATTAGTCAGTCCTGCTGAGGCTGTGGGAAAAAAATAATCTTTTTAGGTTAGGCGTGAAATTTCACTTTTCCTGAAGAAGCATGAGTGGAGGCAGGTCTCCAAGCTCTGCACATAGGCACAGCACTGGGAGACCGCTGACATTTCTGCACCAGCTCCAGAGGAAGGACAGAAACAATGAAGCTACAGAATACTTCACATACCACCAAGGGCAACTGTATGCCAAAATTAACCATTGCAAGCTTAGTCTGCATAAACCTCTCGTGCAACGGAGGCTGCAGAGATGACCCGAACACTCAGCTGGGAGCCAGCACGCTCATCTCCAGTGCACCGAGTCCAGCAGCACAGACTCGCCACACCTCAGTGCGCTCTTCGGGAGCTGAAGGGGCGTACGGCGTTGCTCCTTTGAGTGTTTTCCAGAGAAGGGATGCATGCTCTCCTTTCACAACCCTTAAAAGCATCAGTTGCTGTTCTCTGTGCTTCTACAAAGCACCTGATGCTGCTCTCCACATTAGAAAACACAGTAAAATCCTACACTGAAGAAAAAAGCATCTTCTGGTTAAGAGACAGGACTAATACACAGGTTTCCACTTTTCGCCCCTAGACAGGCTCCTTGCGCTTTTAAGTCACTTTCTGTCTGGAAAGCGAACGCTGCTCGAGCTTCGTGTGTAGTGGATCAAGTTAAGTTTCCAGCATATTTGGTGACCTTGTGGTCTCAGAAGCAGCCTGACCTTCTAGAGACTGGTACCATGTCGTTAAACATGTCTGTCCGGTTCACACGCAGAAAGCTTCGGATGAGCAGGAGATGGAGAGAAGGGGCAGAGGCAGCAGACGTGCTAACCACAGTAACAGGCCATAGTTTTGTCAAGTTTCCCAAGAATTTGTTAATCGACCAAGTACCCGTACTCTTGTCAATGAGGACTGCAGATTATTTACAGTATTGATAGTAAAGAGCTGAAGTCAAAACAGACTTTTAGACTATTTTCTGTTTGACCTCAAGAAAAGGACACTTGAGGGACCTGGAACAAAGAGCACCCTATGTTTAAAAGGAGACATTCATTTGTTCCTGATGTCAAACCAGCAACCCAACCACACGCAAAACATGCGTAGGGACAAAACCAACAATTTACATTTTGCTGCTTAAGCCCACAGCACAAGTCTTCTCCCTGATCCCCGTGCGCCGCTATGCAAACAACATGAATTATCCAAACGTTTCCAGTAACAGATGAATCAAAGGCACTCAGGGCACAGCTTGCCCACTGAAGGAGCCGTCAGCCCTTTTACTGGAAATTCAGATAAACAGGTTCTAAAGCTCTCCGAGGTGATAAGCCAGGAAAGCCTGCAGAGCTCAGACCGACAAGGGACAAGACAGACAAGCATCCAATGCTCACTGACTTAAACCATGGCCATTTGGAGAAACTACCATTCTTTCAGCTAAAAATTCCAGCCTATATTACTGCCTATGAAATATTCACAGTTGTACAGTACAGTTTAAACCTCTGAAAGCCTTTTCAAAGCATCAAGGGAAACGACTTAGATTTACTTCTAACAAAACCCTGTGGTCCGCAGAAGCATGAGGCTGTGATTTCAGATTATTCGAGGCGCTCAGCCTTACACCGAGTGTTTAGCATCCAGAAAACCACGTTGTCAGCCCCACAGCTCAGCACTACACTTTTGCATTAAAACCTAGGTCACACAGACGTTGAGACAATCGAGAGAGACAAAAGATGCAGCACAGGCACATTTAATACGGAGGATTCCCCAGGAACAGTGACTGCCCTGTCCATGCACGCCCAATGTGGCTATCCCTGCGGCACGTCCAGCCATTCCTAACAAGCCTACCGTAAGAGGGACGGGCACCGAGTCGGAGCAACGCGTAGGCAACGTTTTACCCTCCATAACAGGTAAACCCCAGCTTCTGCCCACTGCACGACGCTGGCAGAGCCGGAGCGGGTGCGAAGGCAGCCCGTGCCGGGAGAGACTTTCTCCAACAGCACGAGGACGTGAGATTCTTCAGTGCTAACGACTGCAAGGAAACCCTTCCAAAATGGGTTGCTGTTTCCTCCCTGTAAATTGCTTCCGCTGTTAGAACAAAGTCTGCATGACTCCTCAGGAAACGCCAATGACAAAGAGACAAGGTTTTAGTTTCCCCCTCTCTGCTCCAACGCCAAGGGCACGTGGGGCCTTGTGCAGCACCTGAAAAATGCTGCAAGTTGGCTGTTGGGGCTAACAGGCTCCTGGCTTCAGTCTGGAAAGACGTCAGGGCTGCTCCTGGCTATCAATGAGGAGAACATGCTGGGCAGTGTAATGGAAATTAGCCATGCTAATGAGCTGAATTTACTACAGCATATTTCAGACAGCAATTAGATTTTCACTTTGACTCGTGTAGAAGGCTATTTTTGCAACCCAGAAAATTCATTCCAAGTTTGTATATGAGCTTGCACACAGTTCTGGATTTAAAAAGGATGAGTCTATCTCTGCCAAATTCAACAGAAGAGGGAAAAAAAGAAAGAAGTGGTTTATACTTTTCTGCGGTGATCCATGCACAAGCAAGCTCTAATACACATTCAGGTGATTTTGCTTGCTGCAGAAGGCAAGAAGAATTTCACAAGCCTTCAGAACCGTTGGGTGTCTTACACTGTGATTCATGTTTGAGGAAACAACCGGGCTGGAGAAAGTCAAGGTTTCTCATCCACACTTTGCAAATATCAGCTGCTACTGGCTTCTTCCTTCAGCTGTCACCTTCTCAGAGAAGAATCCAAGGGACGTGGACAATGTCAAGAAGGCAGCATGACACGACAGCCATTTACAAAGGTACTGAGGAACTGGCATTAGGTTACATTCACTGGAAACCAGCATTTTTTAGCTCCAGTTGTCTTATTTTCCTTAGTTTGGGGCTTTTCTTGCTTCACCAAGAGCTCCATCTTTTATTACAACTCAGCCCCAGTTCCAGCAGAGTGAGAGGCTCCGACATCAAAAGTGAATATACGGCCATGACTTAACAGGACAAAAAGGAAAGTATTTCCATTTAGCTGACAGGCCATATGTGACTATCCTCACAAGGACATTGCCTAGAAGCAGATTTAAGCCAGCTCGCTTCAAGCACAAAGGATTTTCCCCCTTTTTCTGAGGCTCACATTGGCTAAGCTGGTAAAGACCCATCTTGCAAAATTCTGACTCTGTCACCTGGCACAGAATCCCAGTGTCTGAGTAAATCTCTATTTCTACAAGTTCCTCATTGGTTGTAATCAGACAAATTAATAAGTCAGTCAACAGTTCTGCACAGATACTTTTTTTTTCCCTTAAAGAATAGCTTCTGTGGTCTAGAAAGCTCAGCCAAAACATTGTTAGCAGACAATGGAGTTTAAAATGGATGTAACTAATATATGCTAAGATAGCATCAGACGTCAAAAAGATAAGAAAATACAGGTTTTGAGAACAGAATACTACAGTACCACAGGACAGCCTGATTCTCTGAAAGCTACTGATAAACACCAATGTTTCCGCTACAGTTAACAAGTTTCACGTCACTTGCTGGGAAGCAAAGTATTCAGCAACACTTTAAAAATCCAACCAGATGACTATTTCCAACATCTTTAATCCCAAAGTCAGCATGAAAGAGGAGTGGCACCACCTGTCAATGAATAAACAGAGGTTATGGAAGTTCTTCTTCCATCGTCAAGTTGGTATCATTTATTTCTTTACCCCTCCTGTCAAAGGAACATTTTCAGGCTGAAGGGCATCTCTCAACTGAAACAAGAGAGCATGGCAGCTATTTTCAGTTTACTGTAGTTGACTGAGTGCATTATCTGATTAAAAAATGCAGTAAACGTACTTACCAAATATTTCCCCTCCGCTAGCATACTCTGTCACTAGATAAATCATCCTCTCCGTCTCCATAACCTGGACACAAGGACAGAAAAGCGACAGATAAGGAGACTGCTGTGTGCAAAAAAGCAGCGTAAGCAACTGAGAATTTTTATTCCTTTTAACACGCACGTAGCTGCTTTCATCAAAGCAAAAATATTACTTTCCCACACTTTAGAGAGCTATGCAAAGGAATGGACAGGAGCTGGGGAAAGAATCAAACAGTGAGGATTTTGGGGCCATAGCAGTCCAACATGCCTGTCTGACAGACAGTGGGTGAGGGCATACAATCACCCTGAGCACGGAAAAAACAGCAAATAACACCTTCCTACCTGCAGATTTGGTAAGGGTGGCTCCAAGGGCTCTTTTGTGACCTGATTATGTTTTGTGATCCGCCTTGGGGCAAGTACACACTTGGGGTGTTTTCCTGAACTTGATGCTATTTGCTTAGCAGGCTTCACAGCTTTGTCAATGGAAAAACACTCCCAGGACCGCAGCGCTGAACTGCCAGTGCCAGGCACGACAGGTCAGTGTTGATATTCTGGGTGTTTAGAAAAGGCCTGGAAACATTTTGATTTTGTTTTGACTTTTCTCCCTTTCAAAGACAAGTGAAAGTTCACCTTTTGACACAAAATGGACTATTATCCCAACAGAGAAGCTAGGTACCTGGAGCCCAGCACTGCTTGCTCTTACTAAGAATCAGGACATCACATTTGAAAAAACACAACCCTGATCCAAACAGCAGCTGCTTAAACAGCTGGATCGCTGTTATTCTGCATTTTAAAACAAGAATATAAACAGAGATGAACCTCAGTTCTGCTCAAGTGTCACAGGGCTCGGATGTCATGGTGATACCATATATCCAGAAAACCCCTAGGTAGGTATTTTTAAGTGCATTTCTGTTCCCAGACACTATCTCTTACACTGTAGACTACTGTCATCATAGACATTTTCTCCTGCTTCACTTGCACCTTTTAAGTTTTATAAGCTCAAGGAAATGTGATTTTTAAACTCGGATTCCCAACAAAAAGCTGTGAAAGGCTCAGAATTCCCAGCACCAGGTTTTAGGAGTTTTTAATCTAAAAACAAATGTCACTGAAAGTACCCTGACAGAACGGCCAAATGAAACATGCGCCACAGTTCGTACTCCTTTCTCACCACAGCAAAGCTGAGCCACAAGTGTCACCTGTTTGATATTGTATCAAAGGCTTCAGATGGAATGAAAAATGGGGGTTTGGCTCCAAAAAAAAAAAGCTTTAAGGAGTCACTTTGCAGAGAAGCGGTCCCTAAGAATGCCACAATTCTGCAGTGTCTGGTGTAAGCATCTCGCACTTGGCAGTTTGGTCAAAATAGCTAAACATTAACCTCTGTCACTTCTACTCTTTGGAGTCCAAATAATTACTCATACCTATCAGGCAGAGTGAGGAGGAGACTGGGCTTGAAGAGACAAGAGTTGGTTCTGGGGAACAGCCACTTCTACCGAGGGCTACCACAACAGACAAGTTCAACATCTTTGTCAGCGACACGGACAGTGGGATCAAGCGCACCTTCAGCAAGTTTGCCAAAAACACCAAGCTGTCTGCTTGTCTCTGACCTGTTGCACCTTCCTTGCCGCTCTATTTGATCGCACGGTCAGAGGGGCACCACCAAATACGTGCGTAAAAGGCAACGTGCATGGAGCCTGGCTCTGGTGGTTTTGTTTGCAGACTAAGACACCAAACAAGCTGGGAAAAAAGTCTGCAAACAGCATTCAAAAGCAGGTCTGCTGCTGCTATTGATCACTTTCCAGGAAAGCAGAGAGTCAATCACCAAGTCCTCTGGGCCACAGGGCAACTAGGCAGGGGGAGGAGAGCAGGGGACCTGCCTGCTTTCAGTCCTGCTAGCGGGTAAGACTTACTCTCTCCCTTAAATCGAGAAGGAGAGCCTGCATCCTGTTTCAACTGGGAAACTGAAAAGCACACAATAGCCATAAACAAATGGCAAGAGGCCAGCCCACAGCGGAAGTGTGATCTCCCAGAAAAGAGAAGGATTAGCCACACTCCTCCCCTCCCGCCCCTCTAATCAAAGTACTCTGAGACCTTGAAAACAGAAAGGATTTTCCCAGTATTTCACCTAGGAGAAATGGAGGAATAGCCCTAGAGAAAGCACTACTATACAGCGTAAAGCTATAGTGCAGAGGGATGGAAAGGCCACTGCAGAGTGCTCCTACCTGGTATAACCTGATGATATGTGGGTGGCAAAGCATCTTCATGATCTGAACTTCTCTAAATATCTTCTTCAGGTTCTCTTCGTCCAGCTGTGTCTTATCAATGATCTTTATGGCAACCTAGGAGAAGGGAAACAAAAGAGAGGTTGACCCAATCGCCTATTTGGAAAAGCGTTTTCAAAACCAAATACTGCTCATAAGACCCTGCTTTGCTGAACACTGCATGGAAACAGAATACGTTGCCGCTGCCTCAGAGAGCCCGGGATCCCTGAGCAGCCTCCCAAAATCCAGCCAGCTCACCATAAAGCAGGTAAGGAAGCAGCTTTGCTTCCTACCTCTCTGTATTTTCTCTAGCAAGGGTATCTCATGAAGAGAGCAGTGTCACAGAAGGTAGGGGGATTTTTAGGCTGCTGCCCATTACCACAGTACAACATGGTCGCAGAGGCACCCAATACTGGGCTGAAACGCCTAGATATATTTCAAGTGAGTCCAAACATTTGTTCCGTTTGCTGAAAGGAACCGGTTTCCCAGATCTCGCCATCCAGCTTTGCTCTTCAGCCTCGTCACTGTCATCTTAACTTACCGCTGGAGGATGTGCCCCCACGCCAACCTGAGAGCTGTGGTGCTTCGGTGTAACAGCAGTGAGACAGATGGAGGACTTGCCAGCTGGCTGCACAGAGGGGGGACAGCTTTCAGGAACCGAAATCCGGACGCATATCTCACTCGCTATATAATAAGGCTGATAAATACAAGCAGGGATGGAAGTGGGGGGGTTCAGGCTTCCAACAATTGAGGTATTTATTTATCTATTTTAAAACAGAAGTGCTCCATAGCACTACACTAAAATAGTTTAAACAAGTCTAAGTGCTTCCAGTCAGCTGCTCTCCAGAAACTCCCAGCCTCAAAACGTTCCTCGCTTCTCTTCCCTCCGCCTTCCCTGAGCATCCTTCCCTAGTGCTGGCAGCTCCCAGCTCTTTTGGGCACAAACAGTAAAGCCATCAGGCTCCAAACGGGGAGACAGATGCTTCTGTGGTAAGAAGTCCACGCACAGGTAGTAAGGAAAGGAATCTTTTCCAGAAGGCCAAGGTTAGCAGGGAAGAAGAGACAGCCGCCAGTGACACCTTGCCAGAGCAACCAGCTGAGAGAAAAGGCTGCTCTTAGCAGCAGAGGAAGGTTTGCACTGCTTCTTCTGAATCAGATCTCAGCCTTGAGTTAATAAGCACCTTCCTCCCCACCAAGAAACATCAGTGTGAGCGAGCAGCTATAGCATGCCAGCCTAGTTCAAGATTTGTGGGCTGAATTAACATCCACCAGCAGGTTTTCTCGCTCAGAGATGGCACTTTCCCTGGGAAAAGAGCCGCTTGTACAGATCTGCTCCTGGTTGCTTTGCGAAAGCATAATTTACAAAACTTCTGTCAAGGAAGACTGCAGAATCATGCAAAGACATGGGGAAGGGCATGCAAAGCAGCACTGCGGTAAAAAGCGCTGATGATGCACAACCAGAAAGATCTGACACAGGAGCCCAAAGCCCAATTACAGAAATGCTTAGCTTGTAACAGACTCCAAAATTCGCTGGGGACGAGGACAAGTGCTCCGCGCACAGAGGCGTGCCATGTCCGTGGACAAAAAAGCCACAGTGGCACGCAATCCCAGACACATGTGCTTCTCCTCTAGTGCCAAACCCCCAGTGCAATGCTAAAGGATGCTCTAACGGGCATGGCGCTAGCTGGAGAAAAAACAAACAAAGGATCTTTAGGATCTTTAAGGGAACAATCTGAAGCACGTGAAAATTAAGCTTCATGTTTTATGATAAAATCCTTGCCAGGGGAATAACTGCCCTGCATGTAAGCAGCACACAGCAGAAACCTGAAAAGGCACCAAGCACAATAAGCTGTTTCTTTCATTTGAAACCTTCAATTCAGAGTACAGGAACGATTCCAGACTTCTAAGTCACTGAGCATGCCTCCTACAGCAAGGACAGAAGCTGAAAGGCAGCCAGGTCTGGCACTCGGCACGAGAAGCTGCTGGCAGGAACGGGGCTACAGCTGAGACACAAGGTGAAATGGCAGAATCGGACCCCAGCCCGTGACGCTGCCAAGCGCTAACCGGCAGTGATTAACAGGGTGACGGGCTGCTGCTGTCCTCTTGTAGGCTGGCAGCGCTCTGGGCTGCAGCTCCTCCTCTGCTGAGCAGCAGACAGGCAAGAAGCGCACGTTTTGTTAGCTACGGTTCTGGTAGGTCTGCACGGCGTGGTTTCAACGACAATGCTCAGGAGTGGACCGGGAAAGCTGAGAGAGCCGGAGGGGGCTCTGAGAGCTCTCACCGCGTGTTTTTCACCAAGGATCTTCCCAGCAAGAACGTGCTTTCCTAAAGCTTAAACCAATGTACATAAGAAAGGAAGAGAGGCTTCCTCAAAGAGCGAGGCCAAGATGTCTACCAAGAGACATGAGTCATTTTCAGGCACAAATACGAAAATGAAAATCCACACAGATCTGCAGTATGGCTAAGCTCCTTACTCATTTCCTAGCTCTCTATTTGCTCTCAGGAAATCTCATTTCCCAGCTTAATTTATGGCTCAAGTTGACACTCTTGGCCAAGTTCAAGGTATGTAGAGCATTTGCTTGCCTAGAACTTGGTCAGTAGGGCCAGACAAAAAAGAACGGAACTACTCTGTTTTCTCTGTGATAACGCAGGGCAGGGAGAACCAGGCTGCCACCTCACCTGCTTGCCTGCCCCACGCTTGTTACCTTGCTCCGCTGTGTGCTTTACACGTGGTGCCCTGAAACTCCACGCCCAGAAGACACACAATACCTGAATCTGCAGCAAAGGAACACAAACACCAGCCAGAAGATGTCTCCTTGTGAAGGATCTTGCTCTGTGTTCGGCCAAACGGGTGGCCCTTGAGCAAAGCTAAACCCAGCCTCAGAAGCAATGAGGAGGAGAGACCTGGTGCTTCTGAAGGGGTTTCTTCATTTCCATCCAAATGCCTCCAGCAACTGATGTAACATGAAAGGTAAAGGTCTCCTGAAAAAGCGTGGGGAAACCACCTTGTGCTCTGGTTTCAGGAAATTCAGAGCTTCCTCACAAACGTGCGAGGGTGGAAGTAGGAAATCCCCTCTGCGCGCACTTGCAGTAGGGAAGGCGCAGGGAATTTCAGGGGGGGGGGCTTGCATTTCACCTGGGGCTTTGGGGAGGGACTGTCCTTGCTTTGCTTCAGAGGACTGCTTTTTTCCAAAGAGAAGGAGTGGTTGAAAGGCTTTCCAGAACAGACCAAGTTGGTTTCTCCATTCCTGCATTTCCCAGCTGGCTAATATTCTCCCTTCCCTTGAAAGATGATTCAGGATTTCAGCAGGGAAAAAAAAAAAAAAAACCAAAAAAAAAAGACTGGCAGAAGTTCTCTGGTCACATCAGCCAGACTGACTTCATCTACAACTTGGTCACAGGGAAACAACCACAATGAATTCTGCTCTGCTAAGCGCACGCTTTCCTTCCTTTGGGAAGGTCTGCCCTCCCTAAGCCTCCCAACCAGGAAAGAGCCCCCGCAACCACACGCCGATGCAGGTTATGTGTGCAAACTTGCAGCCTTGCGTTGCAGTTCTTCCTGCTAACAGTAACTTGCTGTTGCAGTCACAAAACCATCACGCCCTGGGAGGAAGCATCGAGAAAGTAGAGGCGAACAGGCCTCACGCTCCAACTGGTGGGAACGCTAACATTTACAGCGCCACTGGAGCTAGCGTTCTGCAGTATTATTTATGCAAAAAGAATCCATTTCAGGTAGTCTCATGAAACACCAAAAAAACCCCCAAACCCAAAATCAAGTGCATTCCCTCATGCTTACACATACCACAAAGTAGAGGGGAAAGAGCAAGACTAAATGTCATTAAATAAAGCACAAATTCAGCTACAAGTAGAAGTGGAAGAAAACCGTGATCTAATTTTTTAAACAATGAAATACCATGAGAAAGGAGTCTGAAGAATTAACTATTCTTTTATCAAAAGTTAATGAAGCTTACAGGCAGTAGGACATACGCCAAGTCTGGAGCATACATGCTGCTACCAATTAACAAAATGTTCCCTCCATCGCTAAAAACATTTCATTTTTTCCTTCTTGGATCCAAGTAAAACTCGCACTGGTAATTTGAGGCAGAAATTGTTACTTGGAAGAGACATTAATCCGCTAAAAACAACAGTTGGTAGAGAGAACGTAAGGTGTTCAAACAACTCCAGCAAGTCACCGCAGAGGTCTTGGTCTTCGAATCCAGGTGGCTCGTCCATTTTATTTCCCATTTTCCTTGTCCTGGTGCACTTCAGCCGAACACTGCTCTGTATTTTTTGATTCTAAAGCTATGCTGAATATGCATACACGCCAGGTGAAAGCCCTTGAGAAGCAGTGGAAATTTCAAACACAGATTAGCATGAAAGCAAAAGGGGTAGTTGAGGAACTACAGGAGAGGTACTGAAACTCTGGAGGGCCAAAAGGGCACGAGCAGTTATCACCGGTATCACCACGTCCCCCTGTGCCACACGGGAAGCCAAGAAGGACAGAAAGGAGGTATATCTCAGGTCAAAACAGCAAGTTGCTTTCACTACACCCCAAAATTCTAAGTTCCTATCTCGCTGAGACACCAGATTCTAAAATCTGGTAGCCACCAGAGCTAGAAGATCACGCCGAGGGTGAGTCTCCTAAACGAGGCACAAGGCTCGGGACAGGAGAGAATACCTACTTGCAGGAATTAAAATTTCTATAGACATCCTGTTTATCAGCCAATCTTCATACAGACTTCCTTCAATCAATACTGCCCTGCCAACAAGAAGGGAAATAAATTGCCGGGTGCCCAGGCAGAAGAGTACGAGGGCAGGGAAAGGACAGCCACTGCACTCTTAACTGCTCCAACTTCTCGGAAAGTATCCAAGAGAGGTGAAAGAGGTAGGAGCAAGCAGTCTGGTTTTAGTGGAAAGAAGCCATGAAACAGTGAACATTTCCTCTTGCTTCTGTGCAGTGAACAAGGGAAAAAAAGCTAAAGACCCTGTCCTGGGCTAACATCTATTACTTCATGCCACACATTTGCTTGGATCCAATTATAACTATAATTAAACTATAATTAAAGTCTCCT